GGGCAGCAGATTGTATTTCATTTCATCAAGTTGAACGTGTTKCATCAGGACACGATCTTACAGCTAGTTTAGCAAGAGCATCAGCCAAAGTATTTATGTCTCAAGGCACATAGTGGAAGTCAATGAAATCAAACTTAGGGATGAGGTTTGTAACGGTCTTGGAGAACTCCTGCAATTTCTTTGTTAGTGTTGCTTGAYTTMATAGCCCCRYTTAGCGTCCGTGAGTCAGAGTGTACTCTTAGCTTTTTGATTCCCCTTTCTAGTGCCCTYAAGAGGGCGAGACGAACCGCCAGCGCTTCGGCCATCAGTGGGGACACAACAAAAGACTCTGGTTGCGATCTTTTGGTCAACAGTGATAGGGGTTGTTGTGTTGRAGTTTTRTGTTTGAAGAATCCAGCCTAGTCCTGCTAAAAGAGTATCCTCCTTCCATGCTCCATCGGTAAAGCAGAGGATGGTGTCGAGCGGTGGCTTGGGAGGCAGTGCAGTTTRATTATGTGGTCCTCRTTCTGGTTTACCCTRTRGCTGTGTTACGTACCATTCCCGAGCGTCCGAGGTTGCCTTTGTAATGGTTTCTTGTTCCGTAAGTCTTTTGGTCTCAAAGATAAGTTTGTTTCTAGCAAACCATAGGGACCTATGTTTTGTAATGGTTTCTTGTTCCGACAGTCAAGCATGGAGAATTAGTTGGTTAACACCTATGTTTTATGAGTATCTAACTTCCATTTTTTTAAATCGTAGTTTTATGATAGTTGGATTCCTTAAAGACAATTTACCACGGAAAATGGTTGAATCACTTTAACTTTCACTACACATTTCGTTCACTCTTTTAGTAATAACATCATAACATACTAAATCTATAGAACATTGGTTACTCTATCAAAGTAACTCAGCAAAATTTGTCATGGGAGCTAATGTACATGTATTGGATTGTTTACATTCACTTGAGTGTAAATTACAGGGCCAAGTTAACCCGAAAAGCATAGCCTGCTTAGTCAATTCACATTGCTATCTAACTCCTGCAACTGTACAGCCATTTCACGGCTATGTCCATCCCCTAAGCTTGTGGCAAGTGACCGTATAGCTCTAGAGATCAACTCTTTCTTCTGTTTCTCGCCTGTAGTGCTTGTGCCGCTTGCTCCAGACGCATTGTCTTCCTCCTTTAATGCCACACACAATCTTCTCAACCACTCCTCTAGAAAAAAGGCTTTCTGTAGGATTTCATCCGACACCGACAAGAAAGATTGAGTCACTAGACTACTCCTTTAAGACCAATCAACGAAAACAGTGGTGTTAACAATAATAACTGCCTATTTCTTACTCTTAGAAGAAAATCTGTCAACGGTTCACAATGACAGCTTGATGGTCTTCAAGGGCATCTACCGTGATGTGAAGAACTCAATTTCAGCAAGACGGAAGAGAAAGCAATACCATAGTCTCATGGAGCTTTGGCTAAGATGATTTGTGACATCTCCACACATCTTCCTATATCTTACCTTGTTTTTTTTTTAACTTTTTTTGGACAAGGTATTATAAACACTAGAAGTAATTTTTGTAACCTCTAACATTTCATTGTCTAAATGATATTTACACTTTATCAAAAAAAAAAAAAATGACAGCTTGAAACTAGGCTCAGGAGATGCATGGTTGAGGTTAACTGAAACGACCAACCGCGCATTATAAATCATTCATCAACAATCTAAAATAAGGCCAACAAGGTTTTCGTGGTCTTACCTGATTCTCAAGTGATCTCCTATATTTGAAATTTGCTGGAGTTGACTCTCTCTCAGAATTCAGACTTTGTAAAGACAAGTCTTTAGTGAGACTTTAATAACCTGAAAGTTGGGAAAAATGGTTGGCAGCAAATTAGGAGGAAGAAGCCACAAACCCCTTTAGGATGCAGACTTCCGTCACCTCTCCACATGAAGAGAAAAGTTGTCTCAACGCAGCCTCGATGTCAGATTCAATAAGGGAAGCGGCATATCCTTCAACAGTTAATGTCATACTTGCAGGAGATGATATGTATTATCAACACATGCTAGAACACATCTTAAAGACACATCTCAAAACAAAACAAAAAGACACAAATCTCCAAAATAAAAATAAAATTCCGTTTACTTGTTGTCCATAAATGGATAAGCCTTAGCACAGACTTTCCATCCTCCCAAGTCACGTCCACTAAGTTTCAAGGCCTTGTCTACTGCACCCTCTCCCACGAAATAAATATAAGCAACAGACGACCTTTTTGTATGTAAACATCAGTGATCTTTCCACATGAAGCGAAATGTCTCTCAACGCACTCTCGACATCCTCATGGTTAATCCCAGTGTCAAATCCCGTATGGGAAATCCTCCCAATGTCGCTGAAATAAATTGAATGCAGGAGATGATATTATGAAAGTGACAAGAGCAACAGCATCCCCAAAAAAAAACACAAATCTCAAAGAAAACAAAAAAACCAATCAATTTACCGGGCTTTTGGTTTAGCTGCATTACTATGTACCTTGACAGGTCCATCTGGGAACCACAAGGCAATTTCCTTGTAAGCGCTCTCCACTGAATCACTCCCATGAATCAGGTTGCTGCACCAAATCATCTCATTTCTCATACGACACAATACATACATTTCTCGACCATATAAATTAAGAAAAAAGTGCTCTTACCTGCCAATGTCAGTGTCCATGTCATTACAAGGGATTGTCTTTCTAATGATATTTCTTCCGGTCAAAACAACGGTCTCCCCCTACCAGATCATTGCAACAACTAGGCAAAAGATTATGCAGCTGACAAGATGATGGAAGAAACGCTTGGCAGACAAGTCTTGGTAGTGTTTCTCAGCAAAAGGACGGTCCACAGTGATCATCTTTAGACCTGTCCATACCACAAATGATCATCAACTAAACCAATCAAAGTCCTCAATGCATCTAACTCAGACAAATCAATTCGATGACTAAGCAGACCCGTAAAAAAGTGTCTCTAGTCTAAGCTACGACGATTATGCAGCTATTAATCAACCTTCTTAAGCTAATGAAAAAAATAGACTCAGAGTTCGGTAGGTATTCTTACCTTTCAAAGTGAACTCCTTCCTATCGAACCTTCGATAAGTTCACCGACCTGAATTATTACAACAACAAAAACGGAATCCTCGACATGAAAAGGGATACGACACAAATCAAGTTTGTCGGAACACATATCATAACGAGAAACAGTATACAAGGATCAAGAGAGAGTAAAAGGGAAACGTACAAGACCAGTCTTGACGCCGTCGGGCTTGATCAGGATGAAAGTTTGTTCCATTGTGTTAGTCGTCGGCGATAGAACTGATTCCCAGTGAACCAACATAGGGACGGAGTTTATATAAGCAAAACCTAGGTTGCATGGAAACTCTTACCAGATTAATTTGATCTACTTATCATAATTCAAACGTTTTTAAGAATTCGTGGACAACCTTTGAGTTTTGGATAATTTCTAACAAATTAACATTTTTGAATTTTAGCTTCTTTAGAGATTCATTAACTTTAACAAGTTGTTTATATAATTTAGATTCTAATTTGAACACATTTCATCTATTTCCGGTAACAACATTCAAAACGTACTAGTTTTTATTTAGGAATTCTGAGTTTTGGATAATTTTATTATTAAAAAAAAAAGAATTTTGGCTTTTCTAGAGACCAATTTACCTTAACAAGTTGTTTAAATAGTTTAGATTCTAATTTGAACACATTTCATTCATTTCCTGTAAAAACATCAAAACATACTAGTTTTTAGGAATTCCTGGACTAACACTTTGAGTCTTGGGTAATTTGACAAAAAACTAACATTTTTGAATTTTGGCTTCTTTAGAAATATATTTGGCTTCTATAGAAATCTATTTACCTTACGAAGTGGTTCAAATAGTTTAGATTCCAATTTGAACACATCTCATGCATTTCCGGTAACAACATTAAAACGTACTAGTTTAAAAAAATTCGAAGACTTAACACCTTTGAATTTGGATAATTTTCTAAGAATTGTAAAAAAAAAAAATTGGTTGTTTTTGCATTTACCTTACCAAGTTGTTTAAATAGTATAAGTTTACGGTCTAAAGTTGAGAATAGAGGACCTGAAGCTGTTGAGACATTGAAGAAAGAGCTTGGAGTTTCTGATCGAAGTCTGATGTGTTTTGGCTTCTTTTATCAGCTTACTGTGTGTCGGATCACTTTTCTAAACATGTCTTAGAAATTGCAACTCCAAATCTTGTTTACGAAGAAATGTTATTCCCCAATTTTGACTAGAATGATATTGATTTTAGTGATTAACAAGCAATTAAATCTCACTAACAACACTATGTGGATCCAATATGAACTTAATAAAACAAATAGTAAACCACACAAACTCGAGTATGTATGGTGTACTATTGGTTTCATGCTAGTTTAGTAGTTGCATCTCTTTTTTTTAAGTTCATATTGGATATATGGTTGTTAGTGAGATTTAGCTGCTTGTTAACGTCCTACGACACCATTTGTTTCTAATTTATTGAAAACATCGAAAACTCATGAGATTCTTATAATCGCTATGTAAACGTATCCACCAATCTTGTTTTTAATATAACCGGAAAGGTTTGTTCATGTTTTTAACAAAAAACTCAAACCGTATATGATAAACTCATGGATAAACGAATCCTCGCTTTGAATTAGCCTACAAGTAGCCTTGCAGTATTCTTTACACACATCATTGGAAAACCGTATGAATAGTTCCAAGTACATATGAAGAACGGACCATATTCATTCGGAATAATCATCGTCATTACCATCACTATATTGATTGGCATCTTGTTCCGGCCCGTGATTCCAGGATCGACCAAGGCCTTCTTCATCCTCTAACCTTCTCATCTTGGAGCTCGAAGCACCAACCCTAGAATTTGAATAAACCTACATCCAGAGCGTCAAAGTCCAAAGAAATTGGCAAGAGAAGTAGAACTTTACGCATACTTCTTGTGTTAATCTTTTAAATGCTAAAAGTATGGAAGTAGAACTATACCCCTGAATCTTTATGTTCTATAACTGTTACAGTCGATCTTCGCCTGACAGTCACCCTTGAAGGTACTGGGAAGTGCTCAATCTCATCCGAAGATCGTCCTTCCCTGGCCCTCTTCTTCCTCAGGTTCAGCTTTGTGGGTAGGGGCTGTCACATGCTCAAGGGTCATCCCAGAGTATTACAGATAGAAAAGAAGATAAACAACTGGAATATGCAACAAAAAGTGATGCAGATATTAGTTTAGGGAATACCAGATAGCTAGCGGTCCCATCATCGAACGATACCAGGTATGTATCGTTTGCATCATGGCCA